CTTTTTATTTTTTTCTTTCTTTTCTTTCTATTTTTTCTTTTTTTCTTTTCTGAACCTTTAATTTTTTCTTTTTATTTTTTTCTTTCTTTTCTTTCTATTTTTTCTTTTTTTCTTTTCTGAACCTTTAATTTTTTCTTTTTATTTTTTTCTTTCTTTTTTTAGTTGCATTAGTTTTTATTGTTGTAAATTGTAATCTCTAATAAAACTACTATAATAACAAATATGTTTCTACAACAAAAGATATGAATGACTGAAAATGTTTTAATTATTATTCTACTTTATATAGCAAACTAACATCTGAGCCAGATAAGATTGAAGAATATCTAAACAAAACATTACTTACAAAATTGATAGATCAGTGAAAAGAAGGCCATAATCAACCTGTAACTGATGATGGAATTAAAGAGGCAATAAAAACACAGGAATTGAATAAAGCTCCAAGAAATTCTGATTAAACCTTTAACTCAGTAATAAATGAGATTCAGGTAGATGAACTTCTTTCATCATAGAAAGAAACCTTTATGTCTGATTTATAAAGAAGGAAATGTCTTGACTTGCCCAGAGTCATATAAATCTAGTTCTTTACTGAACATAGATTATAAACTTTTTATGGGAATATTGGTTTTTAACTGAAATGATACGTATTGACTGCATTTGTTCTGAGGAGATACATGAGAGACAAGATATATTTTGAATGTTATCAACAAGACAAATCAGAAAAACCAATAAAGTGGCTATGATCTTTCTTGATGCAGAATAAACTTTTGACAATATAGAACATTCTTGTGTGCTTACAATTTTTAAAAATAATTTTTACACATGGGTACACAGCATTTATAAAGAACAAGAAGTCAGGATAATAGTAAATGGTTGAAGAAAATTGGTGGTGATGTTTTATCATTGATACATTATTCCAGTTCTATTTGCTAAAATAGTTCATTTTCTAAAAATTTCTAGAAATGTAAAGAGTAGGTTGGATCATTCTTTCATACCTGGTGGCAATGTTATAAAACACAACAATTTTGGAAAATGATTCATAGTAGAATTAAATAAATCCTAAAAGTTGAATTGCCGCTTCAACCTGCAATATTTTTATTAACATTTAGTAAACCATATATTCCCTCCAAGTATATTGAATTAAGTTTTGTCCTTGCTAACTGCTGGAAGGATACTATAAGGCTTTTATTAGAAAGGATGTTTGATCTCTTTTATGGAAATAAGTAAATTATGGGAGTATGATTTGATGTCTAGAATAACTTTGCATCTTAAAAGTAAATCTCATGCAACATTTAATTCAAATTGGAAACTATTCTTGGACTTCATGATTTGTGGATTTGTGCCACATTCAAAGTTTTGATATCTTTCTTTATAAAGTATATATTTCAATTTCATGGGAAGTCTAAATTAGAATAGCCTTTACTGGTCTGGGTAGAATTTAGTTTACAATTTCATTTTATGCTTTATACTGGGCTTACCATGGTCCCTAATAAGTATGCTTTGCTTAGAGCTTAACTATGATTTTCAGGCTGTTAAAATGCTATAATACATTCAGTTATTCACAATCAATTAATGACATATTAGAAAATCTCTATGACATTTATAAATCCCTTCTTTATTAACTTATTCATCTCTGAATTCCATTGTGAAATAAGTCAGAAACGTTTTTGTATTTTTCAGATCCAGTGGTGACTGACTGAACCACTCTTTCATCCACCATTGGATTCTGAAGATGAGCAAAAAGCTCTGCTTGAAGAACTGCATTCCAAAATTTGCTGAGTCCTTTAAAACTGAGATTTTTCATTCATTTCTAGTATCGACTTCTAGACTTTTCTTATGGCTTTGTTAGGGCTGAGTCCTACAGGATCAAATTTACTGGTGATCCAATCCAGGTTCCCTTGCAAGCAGAAGTGGGGGCAAACACAGTCAACAAAAGAAGCATGAGATGCCAGTTAACATTACTATTCATCAGTCTGCTGCGAACACTGAAGTGGGGTGGGGAATTGATATCAGATGCACTTTGGCCTGGACTTAGAGTTGTCTTTTTTTCAAGCAATGATCCTGGGGAATTTGGAACAGTTTGTTATACAGATACTCAAGGTCCAAGTGATAAAATGCTGTGGCTTTTAGAAAGGGAGACACATTCCTTGGGAAAATGATTATTAGTCCACTAGATATTATATCTCTGAATTCAATAAATTGCCTGGTTAAAACTTGTACATTAAAGTGTAATTTTGCCTTCAGTGAATAAGAATGTATTGTTCTAAATCATGCTTAATTTAACCATGGTGCATTGAATAAACCACAGTAGCTAAATTCACATAAAATACTAAGCTATAAATTGTGATTTACAAGACACAAATGCTGGGTTCATACAATTTATTGAGCCTAAACCAAACAAGATTTGTTATGACTTAAGCTGTATGAGTAAGTGCCATGGCTAATTAGTATTGTATGCTTTATTTGCATATTTTCCAAGGACATAAAGATATGATCCTCTTGGAAATAAAATATATGGTTTACTTCATGCAGTTTACTTCATGTCTCAAATATTATATGCAAGTTTGCTAAACAATGTTTTTGTATAGCACTGAACTCTACACACAGAAGAGCTTAAAGTTTCTATTTGGAATGCAAAAATTAAAGAGGGGTGACAAATGTCCTTCAGATTCATAAATAGCAACCAACTCTATAGGGGGGGAAATCCTAAAATCCATAGCTATGTAATATTAAGACCAAACCAAATGATTCAAAATGATATGCAAGTTCTTCAAAGCAATTCATCAGAAAAGATGTTACAATTAATAGGAGAGTGAAGAAGTAAGAAAGCCAAAAATGTGAGCCAGATGTTTTAGACCTGGGGTCCACAGTTCAAAGAGAGTCATGAAATAGGGGTTATAGACAGAATGCAGAGCTACTATCAGATTATGCTGGTAGCAGAATACAGTCAGAGTTCAGGAACAAAGGAAAGATTGTTTCCCACAACTCTGAAAGCACAAAATAAAGGCTACTACATGTCATGGGCAGGGTCCACAGACAAAATGTTGGAAGAAAGTACTGTATGTAAAGGTGCTCAGGAGAGTTCTGATAACTCTTCATAAACTGAATAGAACCAAGCCAAGTCTGATGTGGCAGCAGCCCTGGATTAACCACTAAGCAAAATGGAGGGTTTTTTTTCCCATGACCTGGAAGAAAACTGAATTTTTAACCTCTTATTTCACCTCCAGCACTTATTGAGCCTTAATGTCTTGCAGTTAACCAATGGAAGGGCCAAGGGGCACCATTGCTGGGCTTGTGTTTCGTGTCAGTTGGCCTTAATCTGGCCCTGTGTGGTGGGAGAACCAGCAAAAGAAAGACATGTTCAAAAAATGGGCTGGATGAGGCCATGGTCTGCAGAAAAAAAACAAACCCTTAATGCAACCTCATGAGGGGGAATTGGGCAAAGGCTTGAAAGACTGTTGGTCCTCCATTTTATGCTCCTCTGGTCACTGGCACAGACTGGAGCATAATCCACCTGCCCCATCCTTCCCACTCAGAGATGCAACATCTTACATTGTTGCACAGAGGAAAATACAGAAACCTCCTGTAGCCACTAGTAGTAAAATAGTTGGAAAGAATTCTCTATGGTCTACTTGCTTTCCCTCAACTTGCTTTTATGCTTTCCATCCAAACAGAATATAGTAAAGAAATTATGTAAAGAGGCTGAGAGCTCCATCTCTCTGCCAGCAGGAAAACTCTCCAAAACTGAACAGAATGAGACCAGATGTGGTTTGAGACAAACTCTGGCAAAAGAAAGATTGAGTTGGAAAATGGGCTTAGATGAAGCCAGGGGCTGCAGAGAAAAACAGTCAAGAAAAGAAGTCCCCAAGGAGACACAGCTAGATAGTGGCTTACTATGGTGCTGACTGCTCTGTTCTAAGCCTTCACACCCTTCTCCATGGGGGCAGAGGATATTGCAGGCCATCCTATGCTTCCTGGTGCACATATACGAACAAAAATACAGAGATACCACACAAGGGGGGGAGCCTGAATACCCACAGGCAGTCCCTAATTAGATCCATGCACACAGAGCAATGCCTCTCTTTCCGTTTCTCTCTCTTGCACACACACATACACACACTACCTTAGTTCGTTATATAGAAGAAAATGCAAGCACTTCCTATGGCCACTGCTGGTAAAAGGGGTTGGAAAGAACCTCAGAAGCCCTGTTCTGCATGCTTTCCCGACCTGTTTTTATATATTGATTATGTGCCATCAAGTCGTTTTCAAATCCTAGCAACCACACCGATTTTCTCCATGAGTGTATCAATATAAATAAAATATAAATAAAATAGCCAGTTAGAAGTTTTGTAGAACTCAGAAGCTTATACATTCTAATAATAATGCTCTAATGATCTAAGACAAATATTCCAACTATGGATTTGGGATATATTTTTTTTTTCAAATTCATAGAGGGAGTATCTTCAATATGCTTTTATTTTCTCCCTCGTGGGTAACATTATGATTTTTATAGGGTTTTTTTAAAAATTCAGATTCATGTGACTGCAAA